CGAGTCTCACTGCTGATTAATTATTCAATAGTTATCTGACGTCATTTTAGGCTTCCTACATTCTGATTGGCTAAAAGAAACATATATTTGCTTATGTGTACTGCAGAAAAAAAATACGCTCCCCGGACGCGATGTGAACGCACAACCGGAAATCGTAACCGGGCCCGGATTCCGGTCCGGAATCCGGGCTTGATGTGAACGTAGCTTTACTGCTAATCTTTTAAATAATAAACTCTCTTACGTTATTTATATATAATGATGTGTTACACTTTCCTTATTTATATATAATGAAACCAGTAACCTTATTATATAAAAATGATGTTGGTTACCCTTTCATTATTTATATATAATGAAATCAGTACACTAATTATATATAAATAATGAAAATGTTAACGCAATTATTTACATATAATCTTTTAGACGTAAATGCATTATATATAAATAAAGAGTGATATATTCAATTATGTGTTAAATAATGAATTATATATAAATAATTGTGTTAAATAATACATTTACACTTGGAGCCTCATAATAATGGCAACCCTGTATGGTACACGCTTTGGCAAGAGAGGGCAGTCAGCAGCGAAGAACGATGACCTTCGTGCGCCTTTTAGTCCGTCTGAGCATGGTCTGAGTCACCGGTAGCGCATGTTTTCACGTCCTTTAACTTTACTAGCACATTGATGTAGCTTTATAGAGAAATCCACCACATGGCGATTCTTCAGCTGATTACAATTTCAAAGGATATCACTTTCGTAAATAGCAACACCCAACGGTGCATCCAAATGTAAGAAAAATAAACATAAACTAAAAGTCAATTAAAATAAAATGTATATACAAAGTAAAACTTATTGGTTATATAAACAAAAAACGAAAGAAAGAAAAAGGATGAAAGTCAATCGATCAATATGGCATAGGTATTAACAGCTAATTAATATACAGCTTAGAACTGTAGAATTGATCATATAGCTTCTTATTTATGAACAAATTAAAAGGGAAAACAAAAACTAATTAAAGAATAACAGGTGGTAATAATAATGTGACCATGGGATTTATATATTTCGGATCTTAATTTCCATGTGCGCCTGCACCTTCGAGAAATACTTTACAGTAATCATCAAATATTTCTGCTAATTTATGATTACTAATTTGGTCATAAAGATTTATTGAGAAATAAATTATGTTTATAATCTTAAGATCTAGTTGGTTAAGATTCCCAAAATTCACCTAATCCCAATTTAACAAGATCATTTTGTAAATCTTTAAAAACCTTTTCTCTAAATGGCTGGATTTTATCACAAATAAATAAAAAATGGTAGGTTGTTTCTTTAAAATTACGGGAGCATAATTTACGAAACCATCATTTTTTACAGACCATCTCTGCTTTTACCCTCTAAATTTAGAGAGTTCGTTCGGTGTTTTGAATTTAAGTGGAATTCCTTTGTCTGGCCGAGGATTGTAATATAATAAATTATATATAACGAGCTTTTGAGCGGTAAGAGTTACCCTCTTAAAATATAATCACTGTCTTATCTTTATAATAATCAGTGACAATTATACCAATACCTTCAGAGGCTTCGAGCGGAGTAGCCTATGGGGTGGAATAAAAGTACAGGAAGAACTTCAGAACCCAACGGAGCATCCACCAAGCATGAGGAATGGTCATCTGCTGATACTAACTTTTTAAAACTTATTGGCCTCAATTTTAGGTTTTGTAGCTCAGCACACGAGTCACTCATTTAGATCTGATAGAAAACCCCTTTAAATCGAAGTTCTTTGCGACCACACTTAGGGTGGGTGGGTTGTGGTGTGGGATTATTGAGTGGTCGTTTCACGTGGGTCAATTTACAAATGCCCAATCATTATTATTTAAATATATGTTCTTTGAGATTATTATTTTTTCCATTTTTAAATGTCAGTTAATAAAAAATCACTTAAATGGTCCAATTTGTTCTTTTTCTATATTTGAAAGTGAGCCTGAGTTGGCCATTGGTAGGCCTATCCATAAAAAATTACATTTTCTTCAAATTTATATATATATATATATATATATATATATAATGTAGGTCTAATTGATATGCGTTTATTATTAGATTTTACTTTTTGTTTTGTCGGGGTCAAATTGAGACAAGCTTCGCTTCTATTTTTGATCTTAATTAATTAATTTTAATGTTGTCCACTTTATTTATCATTTGATGTATTTGATTAATTAATTGAATAAATGTTAATTGAATTGAATTGAATTTTGGCCTATGTAAAATGGATTTGTAAAAACAGAAGGACCAAAAAAAAAAACAGATCATTATCTACAGAAGTAATTATTAAAAACAATATGTAATAATACATACAGGCGGCATACATATTTAATTAATTACAGAGAACACTCGTTTTTGTGAGTTTTGCCCTGGTTTCACCAGAAGTTGTGAACACACATGCGCAGAATATACACAGCCTAAGCTAGATGGTCATGTTGTAGATGTCGCTGCAGGTAGATTTAGCGATACCAAGGATTTATACTTTTTAGCGTACGTCGGGAGACGCTGTTGTCTTCATAAATAAAACCAAACCCTGCTTAACCACGATGTTATTGCGCCTAATTTCGAACCGACCGTGCCGTTTCTTATAAATTAGATATTTGTTGAAGACATATCTAATGTAAGTAGTAAGCATGACGTTGTATTAAAAACCTATTCACCATATTTTCTGTCGTTCCCCAAAGTCCTAGGCCTAGGGCCTGGCTAGGCCACACTAGCCTAGGCCCTAGGCCTAGACTAGTAGGGATGGAATAGCCTAAAAGATGGTCTTAGTCCTTCTTAGTCTTACTCTTAGTAGAAGGTCCAAACCGCCATAAGTCAGCTATTTTAGGACTGTGATTTTGTCGGTATGTAATACTAATACTAGTCAAGACAAGTATGCCTATTTACAATTTATATGCACATACTTAAACTTGTGCTAAAAGAAGTGGGTCCCAACCAAATCATCAACTTCTGCTATACAGTAGTGAATGGTTCACGCTCGACATGGTTCATTATTGTTTACATTCAAATAAATAGAAAAGACTGAAAAGACAGTGCTGTGGCCCGGTTGGTAAGGTATCTGCAAAGACATTTTATTTCATTTATTTATTTGAACATACAAATACATAATGAATATGGTCAGGGGAAAAAATGAAAATATATCCTGTGTGACCTCTTCTAATATGAATTAATAATATTAATTTATCCACAATTGCTATTTAGTATGGCGCAACCAATCGAATCCTAGACATTTGCCTCTTCTGGCCAAAACTTAAAAAACTTGTCATTCTGGAACTACACCAACCCAATGCACATTTAAGGCAGTTTTTAAAATGAATATTCACCTCTGGTTTCCAATTGATGCTGGCCATGAGGTATAATAAGGTCAACCTTATCCTCATTAAACGTTTACAATGCCTACGTACACTGTAAACTCTGCAATAAACCCATACCGTTCTTGTCGGTCTTTGGCGACAACCTCTCAAACTTGCAAAATTTCATCCTTCTCAATTTTTCATGTTGTAGATGAACCCACGTAGGCCAAGCCCCCTCTTTTAAGAATTGGAAATTTCTAGTCGGTGTAATTTCCTTTTGAATGAAATTTCTATTTTTCTATTTTTACTTAAATCTTTTTATTTGTTATTTTTATATTTTCAATAATTTTAATAATTTTTTTCACTATTAGACAATTTATTTGTCTTTTTCCCTTGTCTGTCTTGTCTTCTTTTTCCTCTTAGTCTTTCTTCTTTTGTAATCTGTTTGGTCTCCAGTCACGCTAGCCAGACCACTTGCAGTTCTATGCCCTACTGTTGTTCTATACTGTTAGCCACATGGCATCCATGATGCCTGTTGTGTTAGAGTGAATTGTGCGTGATTATATACAGATATTTGCATTATGACTGTTAATCATAGGTAAAATTTTCTGCTTTCTATAGATGAATTAATATATAATTTCTTGTATGCAATTTTGGTCTCTTTTTTTCTAACCAATTTTTAAATTTTACATGGCCTTATTTATTTTTGAGCAATGTTGCGCAGGCTGGATTAAAATCTTGGCGGGCCCCATGTTGAATACATGGGGCCTATCTCGGATATTTAACATTCTGGTGGCCAGGACCAATTTGTTGGGAACAGCAACAGACAAAACTCTGTGCTACTATTGAATTATTCCATTTTTGCAAATGTTATCCAATTGATGATATTTTTTGTCATCAATGATGCATTGTTTTAGATAAATTAGGGAGTTTTGCAGTAGCGTATCTAAAGGGGATGTGACCCCTAAACATCTTACCACCCAGGTTTCCCATTGAAGTAGCCCTAGTTAATAATTACCTCATTATTATCACTGTATTATCATGGGGAATTAGTTAAATTCCTCCATGGTATTACTGTATCAATCTACGGTGTACAGTACAGTAGCACCTTAAGCATTACTGCAGTGGATTTGTGCGCTTTATAAATCGTATTATTATTATTATTACTAATTAGTGTAGTACTAGACCACCCCTCACTGGATCATGAGAAACTCGACCATGTTTCATTTGAAAAAGAAAGTACATTTGATTGGTGCCAATAAGGTTTGAGCGCAGTAATTGAATAACATAACACGACTGTATTGGATTGACCGGATTTCAATTATTGTTTATAAATAGATTTAAAGGAAATGTGATACATAGGGATTTCATAAAATAAATGAGCATTCAGTCTATACAGCTGTACTCAAGAGAAAATTTCAACAAATCATTTTACATTGAGCCGGTTACTTCCTTATATTGCCTGCACAGATTGCAGTTTGTATACTGGCGAGACAGAGGGACACTGAAGCATTCTGTACATAGTAGTTGTCAGACATTGAAGGAGAAAATTCCTGCTGTCTTTCAATTTTTTTTAATTGTATTAATACCTAAAACACTCAAGTTTGACTCTCATCATACAGCACTTTACAAGTCCACAATTTTTTTAAATTGTATTAATACCTAAAACACTCAAGTTTGACTCTCATCATACAGCACTTTACAAGTCCACCTACTACAGTATAGTCAGAGCCGGGGATAAAAATAATTTGTATACCTCCCTGGTCAGAGTAAAGTATGATGACCTTCCCAGTGGTCTCCGACATTAAGCGCATCTGTACAGTACTGTAGGCCTTTTTTCTAGACTTCTTTTTCAGAACCACTACTAATTTGAATGGTAAAATATTGAATTGCTTAAAAATATCATAGAACACAGATCCAAACACCTATGAATCCCAAATATAATTACTGTACCAGACAGTTAAATTTTTGTCTTTGTAAGTACTGTATATTCTACTATGTAGGAAGGGTATTAATTTTTCATTCGCCATGAAATGTTTTCATGCTCTAAATTTCAAGGAAATAGAGATGTTGTGTATTAAGTACAAAGGTTAAAATTTGTTTCATTGAAACACAGATAAAAACACCTATGAATCCGGAATATAATTACTGTACCAGACAGTTTACTTTTGTCTTTGTAAAGTATTAAAATATAGATGTATTAAGTACAAAGGTTAAAGTTTCTTTCTATTTTTAATTTTTTGCAGTTTTACGTTGACAGTAAAATGTTAAAATCCAAACAGAAAATTTAAAGCTGTTGAAAGTTGATTGAAGAGAAAAAATATTTTAGAAACACTGGATAAAAAACACTGGATAGAAAATGAAAGTATTGTGCTGCTGGTAACTTTGTCTTTTTCCATTAAAGCTGAAAAGTATCAAGCTGTATACAGTTAGTTACTCTACTGAGTTTTATTCACATTGCACAGTAGCCATTAAGGACAGGAAAACCACAAAGGGTTTTGTAAGAAGCTTACTAAAACTACTTAAAAACAATACAACAATGCTGTCTGTCTGCATTGCATACAGTAGTACAGTATGTAAGAATGAAGTAAGCCAACAGCATGTAAATACGTAGACTAGTATTATGCTAGTGATTTCCTTAGGATTATGTGATTGATTTTTTTTTTTTACCTTTTTTATTAGGGAATCAAAATGCCGATCAGTGCTGGAAATGCACAGAGGTGTCTCAGACTCTTGCGGGAATTCCAGGATGATTTAAAATCAGAGCCGATCTCAGTACAGGAGGACGTTAACCGGAGCGCACATGCCCTGGAACTGTTTCTTAATGGAATTGATTCAGGTGGTAGTCCAGAAAAAAATGACGACCTAAAATCTCCACATCGGAGGGACACGGAATTAATACAAGTTATAGTATTTACGAACCCTCCTCCATCTATGCAAGAATTGGGAATATCGTTAAAAGCAGATAGAAGCCTACAGAATTACACATTCTTGAAGAATAAACCACTTGTCGGAAATATTAAAATAAAAAGTGTGACACCAGAGAGTGTTGCCTCTTTCACCGGAAAACTGCAAACAAATGATGAAATTTTACAGATAAATGAAAAAATATTAGAAAGGTGTTCTCTTGAAAGAACCAAGTAAGTTCCTCCTGATCAGGTTGATATGTTTTATTGTTTTATTTACTAAATTTCTAGGTAGCATTGTAAAATGTCTACAGTAGGTAAAATACCTCAATAACTTGAGGATTGCAATGAGTGCTAATTGTACAGTAGGTACTATGTGAGTAGATTTACATCTTACATCCCTGACATTTAATTATTATTTTACAACTCATCTCAAGGTATTATAGGACAGATAATGATTTTGTATAAAAAACTAAAATTTAATACTTTGTCATTTAGGTATATTAAATTTTCTTTGCAGATTTTTATTGGAAAGTGCTCTTCGTTCTGGTAAACTTTGTCTTACAGTGCTTAGAAAAAGTAAGCGAAAGGCTCCACTGCCACCACAAGTGTCTGTTGAATCCAGTGACTTGGTAGAGAAAAGGGACATTCAAAATTGGATTGAGAAGAATGTTGTTGGCGGAAAAATTGTGATGGACTGGGGTCAGGATGAAAATTCTGACCAGAACAACAGTGAACATTTCCTATCACCATACGGAACTAGTTACGGAGGAATTGATAAAAATATGTTTGAACGTAATCAGGAAAAGCGCTTGTCCGGAACAAAGCGGAGACGAGATCTGCTGGGAAATGCGGAAGATATGGAGAATATGATGGAGCAGCAACTTTCGGATGTACCACCAACAAAAACTGTAAAGGTTGATGGAACATTACCACCACAATCACCTCACAAAATCTCTAGGAATGATTCAATATTATCTAATGCAGCGCAGCAAGCAAAGAAAAAGGTATGTTTCAGTTTCACTTTAGTTAGTCAACATTTATTGTAGGCTGTTAAATTTATAATAATAATACTTAAAATTTGTTGCATGGCACAGTGCACATCAAACTACCCTTAACTCAAAATTATGCTATGCCGACACTCTAGAATTTGCAACCTATCTCTCTCTTGTTTTTCTTTTTTTTTAGTATATATTCATATATCATAAATGACCATATAATAAAGTGAAGCCATTAGAAACCTTGGTAGTACTATGCTTGACATAGAATTAGCATTAATTCTAGGGATACTGTAGTGCAGTTGTTTTTAGTCTTCACAATTATAGTCCTAGTAAAGTTACAGTACTTTGAGGTTAGAATGCAACGATCTACGCATGTCAATACAATTTAAAGACAGGACATGCCATACATTATTATAAAATGATTCTATATGCATTCCATTCAATATTGTTTGCATTTAGTTTGATTAGAATACTGTATAAACACCATTGTCAAATTACCGAATAATTATTGATTTTGCCATACTGAATAGTCCTCTCACATGATAATTTTAATTTTACCTACTGTACTACAGTATACAATAATCTATAGATTAGTGTAGCTCTACCATGCTATTCCTGACTAGAAACATACAGCATGACCATGGATATATTAATATTATGTAGGTCCATATTCTGGCTGTTGAGTTCCTACAAAAATGTCGCCCTTTTTTATTTACACACAGAAAACCAATAACCAACACTTCCTTTTATTTAATAATAAAAATTTAATAATGATAATCTATAGTAATTTTAATAACATTGTTATTTATTATTTTGTAATATTCTGTAGTAATATAATTTATTTGCTTAATCAAATATCAGAGTTGAGTTGAAAGCTTGGTGGTAAGATCATTGCCATCTAATCCAAGGTCCTCGGTAGAAAGTCAGTCTCAAAGTTTTTTTTTTCCTCATGACTAATGTAATTTTTTTCAGTAAACTTGTTGTGTGCAGGTTAAAATTGTTTGTACAGTATGTTGCTTATGTTTAATATTGTTTAATATAATTGTTGAATATTGTCTGTTTCATTTGTTGTTGACTTTTTTTATCGAACAAATGATGCTTACAGTAATTAATGACATGTAAGGTTTTATTTAGTTCTGTGTCCCTGCCATTATTATTGCAACTAGCCATTACTAATTTTTTATTGAAATTTTAATAATTTATAGTAATAATAATGTGGTGGTGCCAGCGTCTGAAGTCGGGGGAGGGGGGAGGGTGGGGACAAGTGAGGGGAAAGGTACGATTTTAGGTGGGAGGAGGGAAGGGTTCCTGGCGAGAGCAAAGTGGGTGTTGTTGGGTGTCGATTTCGAAAGTGGTCCATGGGGTGGCGGGGAGCCCCGAAAAATATGACAATTTAGGGGTTCCAGAGGCTTATTTAATCGATTTTATATTACAACTAATACATAGAAAATCATATTTTTTTTTGCCCTGATGAATTGTGGTTTCTCTTCTTTTTTGTGGGGAAAACTGGGATAAAAGCCCCCCCCCTGCCCCTAGCACTGCCACTGGATAAAAAATACTGTAGGCCTGTGTTGTTATTGTAACCATAGGTAGTAGCGTACAGTACTATAGTATATACTGCGGTACTATAGTTTATGTTCAAGTTTCATATTTGTATCTTTCGGTTAGCTGCTTACCCTTTCGATGTACTGTACTTCATAAATATTCAGTCTGAGGTACTGTATACTGTACTGTTAGGTATCACTTGTTATCAACAAAATACTGTTTTACCTGTGAAAGTACAGTAACTGATTTGATTATAATTACAAATGCTATAATGAAGCAAAAAATGCAGTTTATTAAAGGACACTTAAAAGTCCATTGACTGCTGGTTTCATTTAATTTCATTTGTTTATTCCGGTAAAGTACAGAAGCAAAACATGAACTGAGGAAAAGCCACGTGCTTGCCTGGAAGAATCCATTAGCAAAAAATATCATTTTTAGGGGAAATCCTAACGAACATAATTTAAATCATTGTTAAATTATAAAGAGCCAGTTTGTGATTCCCAGTCAGAAATACTGTCTTTTAAATTCTGTGGAAAAAATTGAATTTGTTAATTTTAAAGAATAAAATAATGTGGGTTAAACCTTAAAATCTGATACAGACCTAAACAACAAAGTCTTTACTGATTTATATTCCTACAGCATGTAGTTCCTCTGGTATACAAGCCTAATCGCCTTGAACATGAAAATGGACTGATTTAGGGGTGGGGGTGGGCTTACAGTATACCCAGGGAATCCTCTGTTCAGGAAAAAAACTTTGTGTATTGGCCAATAAAAACTTTTAACACTAATGCTCAATTCAAAGCCAAACTTCACAAATGTTTTGTTGTGAAAGTCAGCTGAGCAACTCATTCAAATCATACCATGGGCTTTAGCCAGGGAAATTGCTGTACACGAAATAGGATGTAAAGTTACTAGACGCAGGGGTTAATCCAGTAGGGGGAAAGGGGGAGCATGTGTCCCCCCCATTTTCCACTGAATTTTTAAAATTTCAATGCAAATCAAGGTTATGTGCTACTCAATTACCTATTCTGAAACTGTTGTGTGTGTGCAAACCCAATAACAATATAATGTTACTAATACTTACTTAGCAGCCCTAGCATATAATGTGCTATATTATATTACAGGAAATTTAAAGCTAAGTTTGTGCTAACGGAAAACTTTGTCATCAGACCATGCTTTCCTTGAGGCCATTTGTGCGAATCATTTGTTGCTATCTGTAGTAGAGTGAATCAAAGGAATGTTATGATAGGATGACATGCTATGTCAGTACATGATGTCTTAACAAAATGGTTGCCTCAGGGCTCAATAATTAATGTAGGATAAAATACTGTAATTAAGCAATTAATTCTTCATTTGTTGGACTTCCGTTTCTGTTAATTGAAACGATACATTGGGTAAAAAAAATCTTTAATGCATTACATTTTATTGATGATGATATAGGGCTTGTTTTGTAAATTATAATAAATACTTTAAATTAAATTCTTCCTTTATATAATTAATTTTAAAAAAAGGGCAAATGTTTTTAGATAAAATAATTTGAATTCTATTACATTTAAACTTTGATTTTTGTAGCCCAAATGTGATAGTACAAATGTACTATACTGTAAACTCATCCTGATGTCAGTTTTCTTTTCCTATGATTGTGTGTTGTTTAATTTAATTTTTTTTAATTTGTTTTTTAATTATTTGTCTTTATTCATTACATTTGAATCCAACATCCAATTACAAAATGTGCGCAATTCCAAGTTTACCAACTACTGATACTGTACCAAGACGGTATTAAATACCTCCTTGACTGTACAGTACCTAAGATTTTGAAAATTTATTTAGAGAAATTTTATTATAAAAGTTTTTATGATTGTTAATTGGAAATACTGTATTTAGTAATTATAGTCCACTACAGTAGTTGCCAGTACAGTAATTACAGTAGTTACACAAGTAGAACTTTTTTGTCAGAAAAAATTAGCTTTTTTTCCCTTCATTCTTACTCATACCGCGTTTGAGGTAAGACGTGTTTGGTGAGCTCCTCATTGTTCCATTGTTCTTAATAAATCATTGTGTCATGAGCAGGCAACATGGCATTTAGTAAGCTTAACACTCACACTTGCTCAAATCTTCAAGAACCTGAACCAGGTGATTTTGAGATATTTGTAAAAACCTTACTGCAATCTCTGATAGAAGGCCAGGCCAAAATTAAAGAAGATTTAAACCAAGCGATTGAACAAAACTTGGCAAGAATAAAATGTATTGAGGAAGCTGAAGATGGAACTTCCAAACGCCTTTCTCTAGGCCTATTAGATGAAAAGGTAGGAATGTACAATCTTCTGAATTTTAAAAACTGCTGTAGAAGCAATACAACTAAAGTGTTTTATCTGGTGTAATATGGTGTGAAGAAAAACAGGGGACAAATACTGTATTTCTCTGCCCAAGAACATTCTTAATCACATTGAGGATCCCATTTCACCAATCAAAGAGACACATGGAGTCTACATGGAAAAATATATCCTCGTCGTAACTTTTTACCTACTGTATTACTTGGCTCTAATTTAGAAATAATACAGTAGTACAGTACTGTATGGAAAAGAAGAATAGACGACTAAATGATTCTGCATACTGTACTGTATTTGATGTCTATATTATGGTAGAGGTACCAGATGTTTAATGCTTAACGGTTGCTATACTTAGACAACTGATACAGGCCAAATAGAACTTTACGTTGTGCAGGGGCCCCCGACCTATCATCTGAATATCTGTTGTTTCATTTTTCTTTTGAAAACAAAGAGCCCAAAATACTTTCCAGTACTATTTCTTAATAGATTCACAATTTAGCAGTATGATGATTTATAATTTTTTTTAAATGTCAAGTTATAAAATTGTACATTGAAAAAAATAGAAAAATATAACACGACTTTGCACCTGGATTATTTTGACCTTTACATCAAAATTCTGGAATCCAAGACAAGCATCAAATTGATTTCTAAAGTCTTGGTGAGCTTCTAATTCCAATGGGATGTATGGTAACTACTGATAGTATAGCAAAAGGCAAGATCTTAACTTGCATGTTTAATTAACATTTAGTTAGTAAGTTATTAGGGAGTTATGGTAAATACTGTATTTTTAAGTCTGAGGGTTCTGGTGAAAATTACAGTTTAGCAAGTTAGGAAGTCCTAAATATTAGTCGATATTCTAAGTATGTAGACCTACTGTAATATTAAGGTTTAGGAGTCTATATTTTTACTTGGTGATTTGTTCTCAAATATGATTGGTAGTGAAGTACTTGTATTTACTGTAGCATGGTCAGAATCACTAAAATCCATGATTATAGATTTTGAATTAATTCCTTTGGATAAAAAACAAAGTAAAAGTCTGTAGTGAATAGTAAGCTGAGTAGTTTTTTTTTTTTCTTAGGAAAGTACAGTGATGTTACCATGATGCATTAGCTTTTTTTTTTCAAACCATGTTTTGTAGAAGAAACCCTTCCAGCATATTCTGGAAGATCGTCTGATATTCTGGGCCCCTCTTTAAAATATTATATAACATGATGCTTTTATTAGCAGTCTCTTTATGAGGCTATAGTGAGTGGAGTTGTTTTTTGTCATGAAAAAAAAGTCTTCCTGTCAAAGGAATTAAACGCAGGACCCTTGGATTAGAAGGCAAGCATCTTAACAACTAATACTCCTTTTTGCCTTATTCATATTTTATTGTACTATTAATGCAATTTAGAATACTGTAACAACAATATTTAATTATATTACTTTATTTTATTATTCTAACATTACATTTATTTATTTTTAGTTACTGTATTATTCAAATCAAAAATTCTTGCATAAAACATTCCATATTTATTACATTTATTGTATATTAAATGTAAATATATACAAAATAATAGAAAGAATATTAATGAAACGTGGATGTAACAATATATTAAATTAATGCATAAAATAATATCAACTAATGAATATGATTAATTTAAACATGGACATAGTAATCATTACATATAAGATTATCAAATTTCAGTCTTGTAAATCAAAATATGTACAGCCAGGTTGTACTGTATGCTTTCTCCATTACATGCTTCTATGAATTATTCTAATCAAATCACACAACCTACCCATCCTCAATAATTATATTTCTGATATCTTATTGAGCCATGTAAATTATAAATGGAATTTCTTTTCCTAGAATTCCTCAAATCTTGAATAATGTTTTTTCTCCTTAGAAACGGGAAGTAGTTAAGATGCATTTGGTTAAGGATGAAGGAGGACTTGGAATACAGATTGCTGGGGGTAAAGGTTCAAGAAAGGGGGATGTTGGGATATTTGTTGCTGGAGTTGAAAAGGACAAGGCTGCTGAAAGGTTTGTAAAAACTTGTTAATGTTAGTTGTATTTTGATGATTATTGATCAATAAGTTAATCAATTGTTGATAATAGTAATAAATATATTTTTCAACATAACTTCTGACTGATTATCTTAAACTATTCAATATGGTATTAGTTAATTTACCAAATTTATTTTGATAAAATTATTTAAAAATAATTTTATCACACTGTGTTAATTATAAGCTACGGATAAATACAGTAGTACAGTACAATTGTTTTACACAAATTAGACAGTTATCATCACAAACACATTACATATTTATGAAAGATAGTGATATATATACAAAAACTGAATATTGAAATGAGGATTTTATTAATCACAAAATTTCTGTATTTTTATTTTTCAAGGGATGGAAGACTTCAGAAAGGTGATGAGATTCTGATGATCAATGGACATAATCTGATGTGTGTGACGCACAATGAGGTCGTAGAAATCCTGCGAAATGCTAGTAATGTTGTCCAGCTTGTCGTTGCACGCAAGGTATGTTTAAACATCTCATTTTGGTGTAGTACAGAATTCCTGTAATTGACACATGAAAGTTTTTTTAGAATTATGCATGTGACATTTGAGCCAGCATTTAGGCCGAGCTTAATAATAATTTAGTTTTTGTCCACGCCTGCTTCCTTTTTTGCAGGTACCATACCTCATTTTTTCTCAGCATTGAAATCCTTTAGTGCCTTGGAAAATTATTACAGTATACATAAAATTCCGGTAGTGCCAATTTTCATATTCCACTATTTAAGGAATACAGTATCCATCTAGATCAGATTCAGTGTTATTTGTTTTCCTGCTTAGACTTGCCATTAATGATGGATTCCATGTTGCTACCCCTTTTTTGCCACCTGGCCCATTGCCACTTAGGCCTCTTGGCAGCAACAGGCCAGACCACTTTAATTGCGTGTACTATAGATACACCCCTGAGTGTTGGGAAATACTGAAAGTACCTCATGAACATACCGTATCTGTGCTACTTAAGGAGCATTGGACTAAATTTTCATAGAATTGCTTGACAAAAAATGTGTACACTTTAATAATGTAGCTAATCTGTGGTTTTCCTCTTTGTCTTTAATTACCATGACTCATACACTTTACACATGCATGCCATGTTCACTTTAAATGCAGATCACAACATGAGTACTGAATTTATTATAATCGGTATTTGTTATTAAAATTAGCTTAGCATGCTACAGTAGGAAAAACATGGAGCATAATTGCTTAGGGTGATATATCTACTGTCATATCTCGATGAACTTCTATTTTTATCTTTTAATTTTCGGTTTATAATTCCTTAAAAATTGTAGGGCTGTTGACACTTATCAAGCTATTTAGTGCTTAAACACTATCGTTCTCATTGTGGATTTGAAATCACATGTCATTAGCTGATTTTTACAAGTGTTTTAACAAGAAATAGGCATAAACGATAATGCTATAATGTTGACACTACATGTACACTCAAATAAAATTTTAACTTCCTATAATGTAAATATTTAAAATAGATTGTCTTGGCAGATATTATTTAAAAACTAATAAAAGGATTAATAATTGTAATGATATAATTAATGTGAAATATAAAATAATAAAAAAAAAACATGTGAATACTAAAAGTGGTGGAAAATTGTGTTTTGTTTTAATAATGCTAATCATTTAAAATTTAACCTATTTTCTTTTTAAATTTCTGAAATTCAGACATAGGTTTTAAGTGAATACTGAACATAATATAATAATTTTATAAATATGTCAATATTGTAAAGCTAATAAAATCTAACTTTAAATCTTGTAGTTTAACCATTATGTTTATTACTGCAAACATATCTGTGCATAAAAAAGTATTGTATTGGTCATTGTTCACTTAATTTAATAAATGATGGATTTGAACCATATCACAGCTAGTGACAATCATGCAAGTTTTAACTGTATGATTAAATATATTTTTTTAAACTTTGGATATTTATAGATATGGGCCTCGAAGGGTTGAGGTACAAACGAAAGTAATCTTGTTACTAAAACTGATAAATGTTGATAAAAAAGATAAATAAATAAAGTGTAATTGTAAAAGTTCAGTACCATTTCATCCTTGTATTAAATTTGGACCTCTCCTTCATTCAGCAGTTGAGGTGATTAGTTCTTACAAAGTAGCAGGTCCAAAATTTGACTTACTGTAGTGCATCTTAAAAGACTCTTATCACTCACTTCAAATACTTTGGAACTACTAAATCTTTTTAACAATATTGTAAAGTGTGTGTGCTTTGAGATAAGACTGATAAAGGTGATGACGTGGGCTAGTGTGTATGCAGGGCCCTTTTGCAGGGCAGTGAGTCTGTATGGAAATAGCCTCTAAATTTATCTAAACAATCAAGTATTGACTCAAGGGATAGAATCAAGAATGGGGGCTCAGTGCTTGTTTTGATGTCACTATATGAGGCACTTAAATTTTAGAGGATTAAATTACTTTGTATACATTTAATATAGTTGAATGTTTATAGAGAAGCAAAGGAAACTTTCTTACAACTAACTTCCTAAGGATATGACTCAACTTTATGATTGATTTAATTGCATATGGGTTTTTTTTTTCTACTCATTTCAGTTTCAATGATATTAACTCATTAGCAACAATTAGCAACAACAATTTCTGATTAACATTGCCTTGTAAAATAGGGAGAGAGGAAATGATTTTAGTGGGCACCTTATAACAAACTGCAATTTTAATGTTTAGTATATTCCCAAAACCAAATTTTTTATTTCATTACATATCTGATGAATTTCAATATTTTTCCCAATTATTAACATGCTCTCACATTTCTGGTGCTTTTGTTCATGTTTTTATCCAATGAAGAAAAGTTAAGGGGTAAGTGGGGTATATAAAAAAAGAGACCTTTAAAGTATTTGTTGGCAAGTGTCTTTTAACCAGTTCCTCGCATAATAAACAAGAAGGATGTGCATACTTTACTAAGTTGAAAAAAAAACATGTTTTTATTGTTACTAAATTGTAAACTAAAATTGTATTTCATCCTGTTAATGGCAGGCTACATGTAGTTTGGGTGTGAAATAGAAATTGAGTAAAACTTACATGGTATAAACAAATAAATACATATTAATAACATTGAGCACTGTTGTTTTATTATTTATCTGTTTGTTTATTTTGTGTTTACAGTGCTACACAGCAACGATATGGAATAGAGGAATACAGAAAGTTCCCGAATTGTGTTAAGAAAATAATACTATTTTCTTAGGATATATTATGATAGTATACAAAAGATTACTGTATTAGGCTGAAGAAATATATGTAGTGTATCCAGTTATGTGTTTCTAAGTTTCTTCACCTTCAGAAGTAATTTGTGCAAAATCTGAGAGACTTAATAGTACTTAGCTGTTAATTATGTTGAGCTTTCCTCAATGGATTAACCAATCAAATACATTGTCTCTTAGAAGTGGGAATGCTGTAGATCAAAGAGGCCTACTGTACATGAACAATATACTAACTCCTCTGAAGCTTTTCGTCCACTGTTAGAACACTAAAGTGATTTTTTTTTTCTAATTGCAAAAGCTTGTCTGAACAAAAAGAGATCTCATTATTTACAGCTGTCATTCTCAGTGTTGTCTAAATAAGACCTACATATTTTATGACTGCAGTATGGAATATGATTATAGTGTGTTTTTTTTTTATAAATAGTAAGATTTCATGCAAATATTTATAATATTAAAGATATTAATGTTTTTTTATTTGATTTCATTCCATTAATTAAATTAAGAAAAAAAAAAGTTAACGGTTCTCACAAGATTTACATAATTATAATCATATTTGTTTCATTTATTTTGATTTTGTGTTATTTATTTATTTAAGTTTCTCTTTTTGTTTTGCTTTAAAAACATAAAATTAGTAAATTTAAACCATTATGTAAGGGGGCTATGGCTTAAAGCTGATCAGACGAGTCTAATCAGCTTATATAACCTCCTCCACAAATCAAATCCAATTGTTTGACGATTTATTATATCTGTATATATTATATTATTTTATTATTATATAATGTATAATATTATTGAATTGTGGAAATAAACATTGAATAGTGCTTTTGGGTAAAATACCCCTTAAAAGTCAAAGAAATTCAATTATTTTGTATGTGTAATTTTGTTTGGTCAAGGTTAAGAACAAGCTGAAGCGTTCGCCATCAAGTTCATCAGACACGTCAGAAAACAGCTCCTGTGTTAGTGTCTTAAGCTCATCAATACGATCTCAGAACTACTTTGTAACAAAAGAGAACTCAGCAGACGAAGCAGAAAAAGAATTATCCTCACCGTCTCAACCCGTATCGGCATCAGGTGATAAGGTGAGCAAAATATTTGACTTTGATAAAATTTAATAATTAAGTATGGTCCTGAGCAAAGGCCAGTAGATATATACCATCGTTTTGGTTTTGGGGGTTTTCTGGTCATAGTTTGTGTTTTGCTATGAAGCTGTGTTTATATGATATTTCTGTATACAAATATTGTCTTAGCGTCCAGATGATTGATTCCAGAAAATATCAGGTCAATTACCTACAGTAGTTTGTATAGTAAATATATATAAAAACAGAACAGAAAAAAAGAATGCTTACTGTGTCTAATGTGAACAATGATTAATAGGGTAAATGATGAGTACTTGTTTTGGACAAGAATGTATAGCTGAATGTATAGTGTAAGATGTACTGTAGTGTAAATGAGAACTGCTTATTCCAAGATAAGCGGTACACATGCTGTCATAGGTTTGGTTTGCTTGTGTCGCATCTGAATTCGGGATTTCCCATTATTTGCCTGTGTTAGTTATCAAGCTAAATGCATGTGAATTCTGGATTGTATAAAGTGGGTTAGCTTTTGTTTGGACGCAATGCCAGCCCAATGCCATATGTCTGAAAATAGCTTTAATAAACAAACCTCAATGTAACTGATGATCCTGTTGACTATGATAAAAGTACAGTACGACTATGGATGTCGTGAATAAATAGTAACAAAACTTGATGATTGAGGAATCGAGAGATGTGTTTCTGATGAAACATAGGCTTAGCCAGTGAGCCGTCCGGTCTTTTGGACGGCCCACAATTATTTAGGACGGCCACTTTTACCGCGACAGCTTGGCATAATCAGCTTGGCCTCCTAATTGGACCTGGTCTACCTTTAGCAAATTCTTTATATTCTTGAAATCTATCAAATGTTACATTAAACTAAAGCAAAATCATATTTACATTTGATAAAAACAACCTTTATTGATTGAATATATGTTGTTTTCATACCAATATTAGGTGGGGATTCCCAAAAATGTAAGGCTTAATCATTGCCTACCTGGTGAAAAGTTCACTTACAACACGCGTCGTGTTAAAAACATTTATACCCCGCTGGAAAATAGACGGTTCTGAGTTGCCCACAATGCATGCAAATGGCTCTGCAAATACAATACTTGAGATTCAGTTCCCCGACATAATATTGTTGGCGTTTGTAACTCTCTGCTTATAATTAATTCATGAAATACAGTAAAGAAGAATTGTTGTTAACGTCACAACTTAAATTTTATTAATCAACAAAATACAATAGATTTAGCCCTATCTCTCGACTTGGAGGACCTAGAGTAGAATTTACACTACACTAAGGCGAGAGATATGCATCTGCATAGCCTAGAAACATTATGTGAGTAACCATAGCCGTGCACAATCTATGTCTATAACTGAAATATCTTTGTGAAAACTAATTCAACACTATTCATTTGAAGACAAAATTTCAACATTTAAACACATTTAAATGCCCTCTAACTTAATTTTCTTATGTTTAGGAGGGGACGTGGCCCACCCATCGGCTCAGGGCCATGCCAACTGGCTTCCATTTTGGACGACCTATTTCGTTTCTCTTGCTACACCCCTGTGATGAGAAACAATTATTTTTTTTATGGCTATCAGATGATGACACTGAAATTGTTGATAGATGGTAATGCATATTTTTAACATTATTATGATTATGATGTAAATAAGAAATAATATGTTTAAAAACTCTTACAGAAACAATCGGTGCCTTGGGTGACCCAGCAGATTTCACTGATCAAAGGAGGTCTTGGCAAGGGACTCGGCTTTACTATATATTCATCTCAAGAACCGGATTCTTCCACCAAAAGTATCTTTGTGAAAACAATCTTCCCAACCGGAGCAGCAGCGGTCGATGGAAGACTGAAAGAAGGTAGTTAGCCGAATTAGTGATAACAAAAAGCTGATGATATCTGAACATTAATATATTTCTGTTACATCCAACAGCAAGCATACACTCATCATTAGACTGATTTAGTGACCACAGAACCATTATGTTCATGTGACATATTGTTGGGACAACATACAGCGCAAGCAGTTTAGAAGTATAGGAAAATAAATGTTATGCATGGCCGGTCAAACCGGGGGCGGGGGGGCCCAGGCCTCCATATTTTTGTAGAAAATATATAATGTCTATGCGTATTTTTGTGTATGATCGGCTCCCTCGTGATTCATATTCTCATTCATCTTACTGGTGAGGGCCCCCCCCCCACTTTCAAAAACGTTCCGCTGGCCCTGTTATGTTGAAGAACAATGGCATACTGATAATGTATTATGGCAAGGAAAAAAATACAATGGTTAAAGATAGTGTTTACTATCATTTCTGCATTCTAAAGAGGGTAGGACTGGGTATACAATGTATGATGACCATTATCAATGTAAATGTGTGTTCATGTCAAAATCATTGGTGATATTGAGGTTATAAATTACTATATAATAATAATAATAATAATTTGGATTTGTAAAGCGCAAAATACATAGGTCTCTATGCGCTAGAAATTTTTTTTGCATGACAGAGGACATTCATAGAGTCAACAAGATGTTTTGATATAAATGCTGTAATAAAACCAGAAGACAGTAACTATGAAAAGAGACAGAGACATTTTGAGATTCAGTGTTTTGATCTATTAGATCATTTTATACTGTAAGCATATTTATTATTTGGTACATATGACGCTTTTCCTTTAGGTTACAAAACGCTTTGTTTCCCTGGTCATTGGTTCCACATGCTTAAGTTTTGCTGCCATATTGGCGAAGTAGCAGGCAACCCCACCAGGTACCTGTTTATACTCCTGTGTGAAGAGAAGCAATGTAGATAAAGTGCCTTGCTCAAGGACACAAGTAAAATGTAAAGTGATGGATCAAAACCCAGACCTCAATGTTGGGAAACCAAACCGTTCCCACTGCGCCAAACCGCTTCCACAAAGTCCTTATAGTTTGACAACTTTTCTTGGACTAGAAATAGTACTGGTCTAATAGAATTCCTAATTATGTTTGTCTACAGGTGATGAGATTTTAGAAGTTAATGGGCAGTCATTTCAAGGACTAAATCACAAGCAAGCACTTGGCAGGTTCAAGGTGAGTCTGTTATATCTTGCTTAATCTTCACTAAATTTTTCTTTATTTATTTTGCTTTTGGATTTCCATTTACTGATTATAATTTACTATACAGATGTTTACTTTTTAAATAAGTAATGAAACAATGATAATATAATTATTGGATTAATAATTAAAAAAAATGAAAAAATATATCGATTACAATGATGACATTGTAATAATAATTTTAATTTGATCCATTTAATAATTTTTGTATTATTAGTTGCATAATCATATTTGTTATGTATTTTCTTGTATTTTTAATACATTCCATAACTTCCATTTCATTACGTTTTACATGCATTCATTTTCATCAAATCAGCAAACGAAAAAAGGGGTTGTAAATATAACAGTTAGAAGTAAGCTGTCCACAGGGCCATCACAGGCCACCAGTAGCCCAAGCTCATCTAGTCCCAAGCTGTGGCCATTTCGAAGGTAAGGAACATCTGAAACGATCATTATCAGCTTTAGCCCATCTCTCATTCAAATCTCATTTCTACTTTATTCAGACATTTTTGATGATCAACTTTGCTCTTACAAAACAGAAATATTTTAAGCCTCGTCAAATTTAGAATGAAAACAAAATTATCAAAATATTGTTTAAATCTTTCTACAATAAATGTAATAATGATTTCAAATACCTCATTTAAAATGTGAAATATTGAAAATATTCACCAAATGTACAAATTAGAGCAATTGATATATGTCACATGTTTCATTGCGTCACTTAAAATTGCCATGAATCCTTGTAATAACGCGACAAGGCTAACGACAGGACGTACACTTCTGAGTCAGTTATCAACAAATCGTTTGTGACTCAAATCGTAGTTGTCAAGATATTGTTGGCCTTAGTATCTTGTTTAAGTTTCACCATGTCTGGCGTTTTAGAAGTGAGGCTTGAAAAGGGGAAAGAAGACTTGGAAGTGCTCCTCATTTAAATATATATACATGTATATAAGTATACATAATAATATATGTATATATAATTGGATTTCTTTTTTTTTTAACTTAAAAAGATAATTCAGCTTGTGCTAAATAATGAAGGGGGTATGATATTTAGAAATTGGAAAAATTCCTTTTGAGAGAAACCTTCTAGTTTGGGGTTTTAAGGAGGATAAAATGTGCTGGTTAGTGACGCAAAAATTTGTTGGTTTTGAAAAGGGGAAAAATTTAGGCTGGAAAAGGAGAATAATTGAATTTTAGTTATGATTCAATTCATTTTTTGTTTTTTATTGTATTAGTTTTATTATTTAGCATTTATATGGCAATTGGAGTGGTGCCAATAAACTCATATTGGCACATTTAAACTGAAAGTGATAGTGTTTGAACATATGAACATGATATTATTTAACAAATTAAAATTATTTTGCTACATTTTGATCTCAGTAAACCTGTATTGGTGACTTTGATTTTGAATGTTATACTTATTTATAAGGTTTGAATTTATTGTTGTGAGGTCTGATATAAATATTGTTTCAAGATATATTATTTTAACATTAGCTAGTTCATTGAGATGATGTATTAAGCTCCCAACTATTACTGTACCATTCATCATAGAAATCATAGAATTATTTCAAAATGTGTTTGTCTGTTCATTTGTTTTTAACATCAAAATTATTATTTTATTCATCTATTCATTTAATTCATTCAAATTATCATTTATTCATTTAGAAATTTGACTTCTTACTATTTTTTTCATTTTATTATCATTTTGTTTATTAATTAATTTATTTGTTCATTTATTTATTACTTTTATCAAAAGTGTAATTTGCTCATTAATATAATGTATACATCAATAAAGTAAATTTTGGACAACATGTTGACTGTTCCATCTTCTGACTACATTTTGGATTTTAATGTTAATTCATTACAAGGAAAATGAGAGATATTGTTTGGTCAAGTAAAGAAGGCAAGCAAGAAGTAGGCTTAGAACACAGAGGTAGTAATGAAATTGAAGAAACCATCACATCAGAAAATGTAAATGAAACATTGGCATCCCCTATCAACACACCAAACAGTACCCCCAACAACTCACCTTGCCGAACCCCCAGAGAAGCTAAGATTACCCATCGTGTCACTCTAGAAAAGGGTAAGTTTCTATAATGAAGACTGAACTAAATGTGGTGATTCACATACTTTAATGTGAGGATATGTGATGTTAATTCGCTTATTTATATTTGAAATTGGCAAAGTCATCAAAACGTCCAGATATACTTTTACATCATAAAAAATATGTAAATATTTTTTTGATTTTATGCAAATCCATTTTGTTTTAACCCTCAGTTGGAAATAGCCTTGGTATTGGTGTCGTCTGTCTGCAACTTCCAGGCTCAGACCAGCGCCGAATCTACGTCCAGCACCTTGCCCCCACTTCTCAAGCAAGGGTGGAAGAGAAACTCTGGTACATGTATATTGTATTTATATGCCTCTAATAATAATAATATCCTTAATATCCTTACAGCTCATGAATAAACATGAGCTTGTCACATGAGAGGAGGTTGTACCTTGCTCTGCCTGGTATACACACAGCGGACCGGCGACTGATTTCGTATATACTTGAATGTGAGGATATGTGATGTTAATTCGCTAATTTATTTGTCTGATTAAGTTTTACAGAAAATTTAAGCTCAAATTTACATGTGTTTTTCACTATATTATGCTATATTTGCAATAATGATAAACAGGAGGTTGAGGAATTCTTACTGTTAAATTAATTATTTAAATAATATATTCTTTTTTAAGGATATAATCAAACTTTTGTCAAAAATAGGAATAATTGCTTATTTAAAAGTATCAAACAAGTTCAAGTCTCCGTAATCAGTTTTCAATTATTTTATAATACTTTAATAATTGAGGCTTGCCATCCGAAAATCATAGTACTGCTGCAACATGTTAAATTGAGTAATTAGAATAAGAATCTGGCAGTATTGTATACTTTATTACAGAGAAGCTAAGAATTTTACTCATAACTTTGGCAATAGTAAATAGATTCCAGTAAATGGCAATTCCATGCCAGGGAGCAAAAAAATCCAAAATTTAAAACTTAGTCTTTCATATCAAATTTGGTATCAAATTAAAGCTTAATGTCTAGAGTTTCTAGGTATAGGATTATTATTTAATATTGATCATGTTATAATATCAAAAATTATGATTTTGTATTAATATTGTTTTTTTCCCAATATATTTATAATATTGGAAAAGTCCATGTAAAATGGTTAATTTTATAATGATAGATACATAAGTGAATTAAAATTAACTTTTGTTTTTTTATTTTCCGGAAATCGTTCCACATGAATGATATCACAAAAGACGACTAAGAAAAATGTCACACTGTTACCAATAAAATGCATTTTTTTCAAATATCTTGAAAATATAAATGTGTAATGAACTGAACATTTTATTCCAAATTGAGTGTATGTGGGTCTATTTAATCCATATACATGTTTAATTATAAATGAACTAAAATATGAAAAATAACAATATGAAATATGTCGCACTGTTACCTTTCAGTAACAGTGTGACAGTCATAATAAGACATTTCATTGAATTTTACAGTGATTTTCCCTACTTAGGTTAATTCAACCTTTACCAGTATAATTACTGTATTATACAAATAGGTTTATTCATAGAGATGAATGTAGTTAATAGCTTTTAATAGCCAACACAAGGTGAAAATATTAATAATAACTGATCGTAAAAATGTCCACTGTTACCACAAAAATTGCTTTTTTCATTTATATCACAAAATAAATAGAAAATAGACGATTTTATTATTAATGAAGTTATTTTAAATTAAATGTACCGGTATATGTATATGGGTCTATTAAATCTATAAATGTTTCATATTAATTAAAATTTAATATTAATGTAAATTACTATATTAAATACGCCATCAGGGCGAGTCGACTGGCCGAGCAGTAAAGCAAGGAGCGCCGCTAGCTACAGCCTTAACATCGGCGCTGGTTCCAGCCGCTCCTTGCTTATGGTTCGGTTGGTACAGTAGAACCAAGGATAAGGACTTAAAATGGAGGTCCAGTGTATACATTTGGCTCGTGTGAACTTTAAAGAACCCATTGCATCTTTCGGAAGAGTAGGGGGTTACCCCAATGTTATGGTTTATTTCAGTCCCTGTCCTTGTGGAATGATGTGAACATGTAGCTACCATGAAGCGCCTCTTTACGGCTGCTAGGTAGTCACGGACCACGCCCACATGCAATTCAGCACAATGACGCTGCAAGATATGAGCTATTCTCCTACCTTTACCTTTACCTTATTTCTGTCAGTTTACAGTCAAGTATTTCAGTATAGTAAATTTAGTTTTGGTTCAAACATTGCCTATAAATATGGACATATACTCTCCTTAAGATACCCATTTTATGTATTTTTCCGTTAAAAAAAACTGTTGATTATAAAGGATGTTGTAGTAGTAGTTGTAAATAAAAATTTTGTTTGGTTTTTTTTTAATTATTTTTATAAAAAATTATGTGATCGAAGTTCAAAATTGGTCTCTGAATGTCACACTTTTACCATGGAATTGCCCTAAATTACCCATCATTTTTAATTTAATATGAATATATAGAAAAGGCAATTATCATGTTTTTGTCACTGATGGTAGTTTTGGCGGCAAGCCTCAATTATTGTTTGAAGTTTTGCGTGGTGAAGTAATAATATAATTATATTAATGCTTGTGGTACACCACATAGATATTTCTGAAAAGTACTATTGTTGGTTGAAAATTACTTATCCAATTAAAGGTTTTATACCAAGAATTTATATATTTATTGAAATTGTCTTAGATGTGTCAGTGATTATTCATTATTGAAAAGGAGTGTGTTTATACTTGCATCAGGTATGGGGATGAGGTCTTGAAGGTGAATGGACAAAGCCTCATAAATGTTGACCTACATGAAGCCCAGAGGATTCTCAGCGCCCTGGACGAAGGAGAAGTGGTTATAGAGATTGCCCGATATCCTAACCCAATTGTAAGTGACTAAGTTTTATTACGATACAAGTGTTCCTGAGACCGAAATGACTTTACTAAGTAAACGTATCTTCTGTATACCACCTTTGAGTCTGTTGTGGTCTTTTTAAAATTATGACTAAATAATATGTTTTAGTTTGTTAATTTTAATGTTTTCTGTGATTTTTCTAATTTTTTGATTATTAGATTAATAAATATATTTATTTGATTAGAAATTGGTTTGCTGTTTGTCAATTTTTACTAATTACGCTATATTTCAGAAGTGTCTGTATGGTAGATAAATGTCATAAGCCTTTAATTCTTATGGATACAATTACATGAGCATTTTGAATAAGATCCAGTATCTGCTATTTAAAAGATGATCTAGATTGGTAATTCTAAAAGTAAACTCATAATCAGGGTTTTCCTTGTAAGACTAATATTAAAACAAACTGACTTCAAAACAACCTTCCCCAATCAACCTAAATGAAGCTTTTGTCAATTATTTCATCATCATGTTAATTGACAATTTTTATTTTATTTACACCCAACAGCGGGTAACCCGCCACTTACAGAATGGATTAACAATAAAATGTATGTATAAATAAAGATATATAAAAAGGAGAAGCATCATAAGAAAAAACTGACACATTAAAAAAGGCAATAAAACAGTAAAAATGAAGAAGGCTAGGGCCAAAAAAAATCAAAGATCCTGTAAGATATTTGATGTGAATTTATCACTTAAATACTAGCCTACTGTGCAATATAATTAGATTGCATATCATCATTAAAGGTCATTTTATTTGTTACTTTTAATTAAATTAATTGTATTCATTTATTTATTTAAATATCTATTCCTTCTTTACTCTGGGTAAGATCATCATTGTCAAATACATTATACTGTTTTAGTGTGTGATGTATGCTGGGCCTTAAGCTTGGCAAACAGTCCATATTTTTCTTCTGTCAAATCCAATACACTGTTTAACCAGACTTTTTTCTGATAGTGTATAGATAAAACAAAACATATGTCCTTCCTTATATTGTGTGTTGTATTGTTTAATTCATCATAATCTGATCAGTCATTGTTGAGTCGGACAAACACAAATCTAGTGTATACTCAGCTTAATTCCCAGCTTATAATATCAAACAGTAAAACAAGTTTACACACAATAAAAATGAAAATGGGCCTAAGCCAATTTTAAATGTGTTTCAAATTATTAACAAAATTTAAACATTGTTTCTTAAATGATTAAGTATGACAGCAGCAATAGTGGAGAAAGTGTAAGTTGGGTTATTATTCAATTGATGTGCAGAAATTTGTGATTTTCTAATTATTGTATTCTGTTTGTATGCCAATTAAACATATTGTAAATAGAAAAATGCTTATTGCTATAAGTGTTTTGTAGCTCCCATTTTTGCCTATGTGCCATTCAATATTAGATAGGTATTGCATACTTTTTGAAAAAAGTTGAAATACTGAATGTTAAATCTTACTTAAGTTACAGTATTTTTACTTAAAGAGTTTGAAAGTAGAAATAGAAAAAATGTGTTTCCACTTAGTTATATAGCACAGTAGACTTTTTCTTTTATCTATTATCAAATTAAATTATCAATTGATATAAAGTAAATTACTTGTTATGTGTATAATTACAAGTACTGTGCTTGTAATTTTGCAGTAACTAGTAGAGCACAGCCCTTGTGCCAGTTTATTTAATGTTTATAATGCATGTACAATGTAAGCACAAACCTTATATTCATTTTATGTATATTCTTATAGTTAAAGATCAGTGTTTTTAATGATATATTATAGCCTTCCTAGTCACATTTATTTGTTACATTATTGTATACTTGTATATTTTATTAGTGCTGATAGAAGTATCACTTTTCCTATTTAGTTTCTTTTTTCTTCATATTGTTATCCTTGCTTATAATAATTGACATAGTATGAATAGTGATAATAACAATAATAATAACAGAGAATAATATAATGTAATGATTTTTATGATGCCTTAACTCTGAAGTATCTGTTAGCCAACATGAACTCAACCATAATTTGAGTACATTATTATCTGAAGCTGAAAACCTCTTTAACAAACATGATGTTCAGTAATTTAAGGCACAAAGCCAACAAGACTATGACTCACTAGTTCTCTAATGATGTTAGTATAAAGATTGATCAAATGTTTGAAAAAAGAAAGATTGTTTAAAGGATGGGTTTAGCTGTGAAATCCTTTAAAATTTTAAGGTAATATATGATCTCAAGAACTTAACTAGCCAGAAATAGCTCTTACCTATGTAGAGGCTATAAATCAAATATCCACATGTTAAATCTATACTTACATTCTGTATAGTGTTTTTTACATACATACTCTAGTATCCAACAAAACATTATGATTTTCCCATCAGGATTCATCTCTTGAGATGGAGAAAGCTATTGCTGTGCCCTCACCTGCACCACAACCAACAAGCCATCCATTGTATGCTGTCCCTATGAAAGGGTTTAAAAGTGACACCCCTCCAACATTACCAGCAAGGAATTCTGTCCCACAAGTCGTAAATTCACCTTCATCAAGAATGAAACAGGCAACAGATGTGAACAGTTTAACAGGTAAATAAAGGACAGAGAATTTGCCTTTACATAGGTTTGGATTTTCTGTTTATGTTATAATGTAATTTAGACAATTAAAACTCTGTAATAACAGGTGGACAAGATATGCACAAATTTCGTCTCATTCCCCGAAAATGATAAAAAAAAAACTCAATTTGGGTGGCCAGTCTACCATCTTTAGCTCGAAAACCCCTTGTTGTTACGGCCCACTGCTGATCAAAAGTAAAAATTATAACAATAGAATGTAATTTAAAAGTGAAATTTTCAAAATGAAAAAAAAAAATTTCATAATAAAAATCTGATATTGCATGCAGCCCTAGTGTTTATTCGAAAATTCACCTTTTCCCTCTGACTATTAGATATCAGCAGGAGCAGCATCATGGCAGCATTGTTTTATACTATATTAGTTGAAAAAGCAATTTTGGAGGACATACTTCCTTAATGTCAGCCTTGCTGTAAGAGTTACCATTGTAAGAGGAAGTTAAATAAATAAATAAATAAAATCTCTTTTGTTGGATGAAAAGCATTGAATTGCTATACATATGCATGCTCCAAAAACACAGGCTTAGCAAACAGACTACGTGATGATATTTATTGAGATGTTGATTATATTGCTGCTTAGACAAATGTGGCTTACTCTCTGTTTTTTTTTTCTATACAATAAAAAATACAAAGTATACAGTCAATCTGCTAGGAAAGGCATTTTATCTGCATTGCATATCCCAGGAGTTGAATATGTATGATGGAGCTACCATGACTGGTGCAGTAAGGTATTCCCAAAGAGAATAGAGAGGATTGCACCTACTAAACTAAACTATATATAATTTAGTGACCATCCTACATTCTTTGGCAAAATGCAATGTATAAATATGTACTGTATATTATTATATTATTGTATCTTGCTTTCGGTTTAACAAATAAAAATATTTTATTTTTCAGGGAAACCATTGTCTCCAGTTTCAGCATATGGTTATCAAACTTTACCTGCGCTTATTAAACCAATAGTGAGTGACTGACTTCTTTACTAATAAATTATTATTATATTTAAAATTTAAAATTTCTTCTGGTAACAATGTTTCTTAATATTTCCACCATATTATATGATTAATTAATAAAATGAGATGCCTGTATTATTATTTTATTAAGATAACACTAGGTAAAGTTTAAGGATATATTGAGAAACCATTGTATTTTATTTAACTTTAACAAAAAAATTGTATTTCTGTTTTAATTTAAGTTTTATTAAAAGTGTATTAGTTTGAGATCACTGTAATAAAATGTGTTATTGTTTATTATGAAAAAGCAGCTTAGTAAACATGTGCATTGGTCACAAGTGGTAGGTCACACTGTCAGTATCAGAAAACAAGCCCTAAAATGTTCATTGTTGTAGTAGTATAAAAGTAGTATTACTTTGCTTTTTATGGCAAAATTGTGAAATGTGCAATTCCTAATTATCCAATTAATAATTCTTATTACTGTTTGTAGATACACCTTTTTTTGCCATTGCAACTAATATTAAATATATTTTTGTAATTCTATTAGAAACTAATTGCAATCTTGAAATACACTGGTTTGAATTACTTTGCCATTTTGCCATTCGTAATATTGCCATAAAAGGGATAAACATTTTTGCATGCAATGATAAACAATGTTAGGTTTGTATGTAGCACACACTGTAGCATATGTGTTGTTATGCTATTATTAGTATTATGTTATTATTAGATTAGTAATATGCACTGTATTCATCCATCTGTGTTACATGTAATCACTTTCAGCTTGTCTCCCAATTTCCTCTTGTAGACATTTGAATGGCCAATAAGTTATGATTATTACTGTTATTATTGAGAAAGAGCATATCATCTTGGTGACAGTAGCTTTAAATACTATTTGCTGTTATTATTAAAAATTTATAACCTGTAGGCAGCAGTAGTAGAATCCTGAAATCCTTGGTCTACTGTTTACATCTTAGAAAACAAAGTTTATATATATTTTATATATTTTTTAATAATTACCATTATTAAAAGAGCATGCTTTGATGGCGACAGTATACCATTATTAAAAGAGCATGCTTTGATGACGGCAGAAAGCATGATGACTGTTGGCACACAGTATGCTACTTGGAAAACAGATTATGCCATTTTTTTTTTATGTTAGTGAAACAGTTGGTGACAGAATTTCAATAATCTACTTCTTGCCACATTGTAAAAATCTTGGAATACACAATTTTATAGACTAGATTTGAGTCCCTAAATTTTGTCTTAATCATTGAAAACTATTCCTATAGTAACAAGGCCTGGCGTGCCACCGTGTTTAATTTTTCTATGCCGGCCTTTAATTGCTGCGGGGAGTCGGGTTCAGGTAAAAAAAATTACCAAAACAGCATTACATGTGCCGCGAGCGTACATTTCGCGCGCAATGTTTTGAAACACGTTTCCTGGTTACGGCTCATTAATATGCAAATTTTCGTGCCTGACTAATCCTGCTAGTCTGAACGCCCAGCAAAGTTAAGACGGGCTTAACTCTAAATTGAGTAATATAATTCAGATTTTTTTTAAACCAGTTTTATTGAATAGTATAATTCAAATTTTCAATTGTCTGCAGAAAGAATGCAATGAGCGATTGTAGATTGTCTGACTTTCATGTACTGCATGTGAATCATTATACAAATTTTGGCTATTTTTATGTATTTCCTCTTATTATTAATGTAGATTTATAATTCTTTACTCCTACTAACTTGTCTGAGTGCTTCCTTTTTATGTTTAAATATACTTAATAATGCCTCTTTTTCATAAGGAATGACATTAGATAAATATGAAACCAAATCTAATTCATAAATTTTTTCTTTATAAAAGATATAAATGATCCGTTTGATTTTTAGGGTACATATAGCTCTTTCATCTTCCTTTTACTTTTTAAGTATTTAGTTTTGGTGTTTTATTTTAATCTGATACATGTGTGAATATTCACTTTTAATATATCTTTTATTTTTAGGATGAATTGATTCCATTTAAGCGTTTTTCTGCAGAAGATTCTGCTCACAGTAGTGAAGACTCTAACTTGAAGGCGATGGTCTCACCAGATAAATGTAATCTACAACCTATCATTGATGACAATGATGCAGTTTTAGGAAGCTCACCAAGAAATAGAGTGAAAAAACAGTCAAGGAATATACAGAGCAAACATAGTTCTGATCTCATTGAGGAAAAAGCACAAATGATAGCTGCTGAACCTCTGTATTCGGAGATAATGGAGATACCAAACAGGTCTGCAAATGTACATGAAAATGCAGAAAATGGGACAGTCTCTGTCACATGCAATGATAATCGAGTTCAAAAAATTTCAAGTGAAAAACCAGACTTAGTCTCTCAGTATGAAGCTGTCTTAGAGGCATATGAAGAAGCAATGAAATCTGAAGAAGTAAATGATGAATTTACTAAATTTGATCAGTCTGAGAACTCTGTAAATTCCTTTTACCATCTTGACAGAGACTCAGTAAAGGTTGTAGAAATCCAAAGGAATCATGGTGAGCGCCTTGGAATGGGAATTGACATTCAGGGCTCGTCAAGCTCACCAACACATGTTACTGAGGTTTTTGTCCAGGTTATCCACAAGGAAGGCCCAGTAGCACGTGCTAACAATGGTGGAGCAACACAGAAGGTACTTGAAGGTGACAAGATTCTTGAGATTAATGGCAAAAGTCTTGAAGGATTATCATATTCTGATGTTGTCTCAGTATTTAATAGGCTGCCTGAAAAATTCAACCTTATTCTCTCTAAGAATGGAAGGAAAGTTTCAGATCATAGCACAGCAAAAGAGTCTGTTTTCTGGAGTAAAATAGAAGGCATAAAAAATGAACTTGCTTTAAATGCAAAAAACAAAAGCAGCAATGGTTTTGAATTCAAATTCTGGAAATCAATTGAAAATCATGGAAAAGCATTATCAAGTTTGCGTGACTTGATCAGCATGAAGAACAAACCGAAACCTAAGCATCTTCCAAAAGAAGATCTCTCCATTCCGGACATTGATCCAATTGATGATGATATTGGAGAAATGTTAATGCTAGAAACTGAACCCACTGATACTGAACAAAATTCTGATACAGAGAGTCAGCAAGAAGTATCCATACAAGAGTGTTCACCATTGCTCTGTCAGGCAAACCATCAGAATGGAGTGCTGTCTACAACAGAATCTGATGATCTTGTGAACTCCAATTTGCAAGAATTGAATAATGGTCTTCATGTTACATTAGTTGATATGAGTGACAATGATCCTCCTGTGACAGACATTGATGATCTTTTGACACCCGAAAGCAGTCTAGATAATAGTCTTGAAACCACAATAGAAGATTTACCTCACAGTACTGACCTAGACCAAGATGGAAATCATAAAGGAGATCATTTGCCTTTAAAGGAACCAAAACATTCTAATCAACATGATATAAATACATTATGCACTATGGATGCAGACAAAGTAAATGGCCAATCAAATGATGTCTCTTACCAGAGCAATCAAGACTGTGAGGTTTTACAGAGTGTTGTTGATAACATATTTGCTTCAGTTTTAGAAGATTCCACTGAGAGTAACAATGAACATCTGCAGTCGGATGGTAGTGACTTTGGAGATGATTTCATTACAGACTCCTCAGACTACCCAAGTTTAGAAGGAACATCTGGTGAAGTAATTAGACCTCCAACAGGCTTCAGTGATAACTCATTATTGATGTATTCTGGTGAATATGAAGACCACTCATCAATAACTGATGAATCTGTTAGTGCATCACCAAGGAATATAAAAGAAATAGGACATAGGTTAGAATCTACTTCCGCAAATATTAAGTCTTCCAACATTACAAAGTCTGACTTAGATTCAAAAGCTCCTTTAGAGGAGGTTATTGAAGCGACTTGTTTGCCAACTGTGGAATGTGAATTAGATATCAAACCAGATTCATCACTTGCCTACAATATTCACCCAAAAATACAGCAAAAGGCTAATCTTGACATTGAAGCCAAAATGCTATTGCTTTCTAAATTAAAAGCTGTATCTTTTGATGAACAACAAAACTCAAATGTGAAGTCATCCCCAAGACAAGGTGTTCATGAAATTATTGAATCAGTTAATGTGTTAAAAGAAGTAGTTAAAAATGAGGAATCATCAGATCTTCAGAAAAGATTTGCTGACCTTGATAGACCTGGTTCTCCTGTTTTCCAGAGGCCTGTAATACCAGTAAAACCAGTTCATCTCAGGAGAGCGCAGTCACAAACAGCAGCAGATGTGATTTCTTCTAAGAACCTCTTTGAGCACAGTAAAAGGTTTCCCCTGAAGAAGACCCCAACTTTCAATGAACATTTCGATAAAAAGTTTACAGCTGATGAGATTAAATGTGCAAGGAAAGGTGGAGTTCAAGATCGAGCTGCCCTTTTTGGAAGTGTTGTCAAGAAGAAACATTCATTTTCAAAAACAATTTTAAAAGAACAAAAAGAGACAGATGTCAAAGAAGATAATATAGAAGAATGTAAATATGTCCCAGTAGCTGTTAAAATGGAACCTGTCTTTCAATGTAAAAAAGAACCCAGTTTGTCTAACAACCAATTAGAAGTTACACCAATTGCTGGGGATGTAGAGACCATAGAGCAAAAAATAGAGAAAAGCATTGATACAGAAGCTTCACCTCCAAGATGTTCATCAACACCACTGTCATTATCGCCATCATCTCCATCAATACCATTATCAACATCAACCCCATCAGTTCCATCATCTCCTTCATCAGAAAATGTGTCAACACCATCTCCTTCATTGTTGTCACCAGTCTTAAGTAAGTGTGACGATGTAGATCATGATGAAGTAAATGAAAATACCAAGCAAGTTTCTAAAACTGAAGATAATGAAATAAAGAATGTAAATATATCAGCTACAAAAGACCTCCCAAGCAATAAGGAACATTCACCCAAAAGTACAAAGAGTAGTAAAGTTGAAAAGGGAAATAAAGGACAACCTATGAAATTAGCAGTACCTAAAAAAATGTCGACAGTGATTGATGCAAGTAAGTCAAATAAGCTTTCTAGATCTTCAGAACCAAAAAAGACTCCATCGTCAACAACATCATTAATACCAATATCCAATAATTCAAAGTTGTATGGCAGAAGATTTAATTGGAGTTCCAACTCTAAGACAGATTCTTTGAATAAGGATGAAAAACACCAGACTGTTAGTTGTGCCAAGCAATCCTCCCAGAGCCAAGCAGCATCAAGGCTGCAGGAATCCAAAAACAAATCTCCTCAGTTGTCTCCAAAAAAGAAGATAGAACAGGAGAGATTAAAGAATCGTGAACCACTCCCAAAAAAACTAATAAATACTACAAAAACGGATGTATCACCTAAAACTAAGAGGAGAACTTATCAAAGAGATGAAGATAAAACATCTCCGAAACGACTTCCAGCTGCCAAATCCAAAGACACAGATACAAAGGTAAAAGGAAAGATGAGTTCTGTTGGACAACAGAAACGCAAAGATGGCATTTCATATAAGGACCAAAGTACATCACCTAGAAAGACAAATACTACAAGAAAAGACCTTTCTAAAGTTGTAGAAAAGACTTCTCCATTGAGAAAGAAATCAGACACCGCAAATCCAAAGACCACCAAATCTGACAAAGAAGTGGTGAAGGAGCCTGTAGCAGTTCATGGCAAGAATGTCATAAAGAAGGAAGCATTTTCAAAAGAACCAACACCACAAACAAAAGAAGACCATTTGACCAGTCCTGACACCATACCTAAGGTCATGACATATGATCAAACAGACTTTCCTAGTCGTCTGTTTTCTCAAGATTATGAAGATGATCCTTACGAAGGTGTCTTGGATGTTCAGGTATGTAAATTGAACATGTAATAAATACTTCAAAAATGTTTTCATAGAGAAATACTTGACTACACTTAGTAATCAGTCTATGATGAGTGAAAATTTGATGTTGGTAAAAATGTAGGTGAAATTTTAATGCATACCTATACAAGAATACCTTATATGTTTATGTGGCTCCATATGTTAAAATATATAGGAAGTCATACCACACAATTTTGTGTTTTATGTTAATTAACACTGATAGGGTTTTTAAGCATGTGTATTTTGGCTCCTGAACGTTTCTCAAGGTATATATACATTTAAAATGTACATAAACAGAAACGGCAAAGAACAATCACAAAAGTACAAAAAAAGAGACAGGACACTCCAAAAGTAAAATCAATCACTGTCGAGTGGAGGCCCTTCACAAGAAAAACACAAAAACATACAAGATAAAATTCTTCAAAAAGATAAAAAATCAAAAGATAAATATTAAAATATAGAAAAATGTGTAAAAATCAGTAAATGAGCAAATTTAATTTAAAAAATATTTAGAGATATAAAAATATTCAGATAAGCATTAAAAATTATCTTAAAATATTCAATGTAAAAATGTCAAACAAATCATCAAAAATTTCATTGCACTTATTTTATCTTATGGAAGGACAAAATTATGGCACTTTAGGAATTTGACAAAACTCTTGGGATTCTTTGTAAATAATAAGTACTAATGAGTAAAAGTGATACCAAGTATAACTGTTTTAACTCATAGACCTGTTATAAAATGAATTTATCACAACAATACCCCTGTCAAATATAAGCAAATAAATAGATATACAAAGCCACTTAAATTAACATGAGCCCTTAAAAGTGGTCCCCCTTTTAAAGGAGAAGATTTGTATAAAAGTAAATTTCCAGCTTTAAATAGAGCCTCTAGAAGCTTTTTCCACAAAACAAATGAGCCCCTTTATTTTTTATTGTTATTTGTTATTATTGGTATTTATATAGCACCTATTCCATTAGGTTACAAAGCGATTTGTTTCCCTAGTCATTGGGTCCACATGCTTCAAGTGTTGCTGCCATATTGGCGCAGTAGCAGGCAACCCCTCCAGTTACCCAATTATACTCCTGGGTGGAGAGAAGCCATGTAGATAAAGTGCCTTGCTCAAGGACACAATCAAAGTGCACAGCAAGGGATTGAAACCCCGACCTCGGGGTTGGGAAACCAAATCGTTCCAGCTGCGCCAAACTGCTTCCTTTGCAATGAACCCCATTTTTAAAATCTTTTGTAGTACTTCTATAACAAATATTGATTAGCCTTGTAAATAGAGCACCCTTTATATCTTGCACCAAATTGTTACATTTTTAAGTAGGTAGTTGTGATATTTTATTTACATACATTATTAATTAAACTTTAAATGTAAAGAACTTTATACTTTTTCTTTAAACAAAGTACAATACAATGATGGAATACATTTATACAGAATGCAATGCAATAAATTGAATGAGTGGCCAGTGACACAAAAGGAAACTTAATCACTATAACAGTCTGTGAACCTAGGTTTAACATAAATACAGTATTTTAAATAATATAGGCCAATTATAATATAAAACAAAATTAACAAAATACAGAAAGCAATTATCTAAGTTAGTGTTATACAAAAATATATAGCAAAATATTTAATCATTGATCAAAAAAATAAATAAATAAATGAAACAATTTGAAAAATTTAAATTTAAAAGAATATATATAAATTAATTAAATATAAATTATGTTATATTTAAACATAATAACTTTAAATTAACACTATATTTTCAAGGTTTGATTTTCTAATGTTTTATTTATATTATATATTTTGTAGTTGTTTGAGTTATAGTTAGTTATTATTTTTAGTAGACTTGATTTTCTTGTTGTCAAACCCAACCAATATGTGCAATTCTTGTTATTGTTGTAAAAATGTCATGAATTGACCATTGGTTTGACATCATTTCCTTCCAAGGCTTATTGGGTTTCCCTCTAAATTATATTCTCTACTCCAAAGTTCAATACACTTAAACCAACATAACAAAAGTGGCTCACTGTATTGTTGCATTGAAAGGACAATACAATACAAGTTGAATGGCTAAGTAGTATTGGCAAGGGTGCCGCTAAGTACAGCAGTACTGGTTCAAGCCGCTCCAGGCCCAAGGTAGTGTTGGTCGAACCAAGTCTGCTTGGGTAGAACTTAAAACTGGAGGTCCAGTGTACACTTCTTGCTTGTGTGCACCTTAAAGAAACCATTGCATCTCGGAAAAGTAGTTGTTTACCCTGATGCTGTGATTCATTTCAGCCTCTGTTGTTATGAACATGATGCTAGTAAGCACCTCTCTACAGCAGCTAAAGTAGTCACGGACCACACCCAACTATGCTGCGAGTTACGGGTTATTCTCCTACCTTTACCCTATTGATACTGGGTTATTAAATGTCTTGTGAAAATAATAGTAAAAATACTGTGATTAGATCAGTATTTTTTTTTGTAGTATAAAACCTTTTAACTTTATCACAAAATCTAATACAAGTCTGTCGAAAGGTTGCATTCTTGCACCAGGATGTTAGATACATCACAGCCAGTACTTACTAATAATCAAGATTGTGTATAAACTTTATGTGCCTACATGTTGAATCATGACTATATTAAACATTAAGATGTTTCCATTCTCAGTGGACATCTGGAGTGATTAATAGATGATCACTCTATCATTCAATCGCCTTGGGTGGGGGGGCAGTGGGTTTCCATTAAGGTTCTTATCGAACCACATTCATTCTTGGCCAGCCGTGCTTAAAAACCCCAGCTTGCACAGTTGACAGGCTCTGGGGTAGTTCACACTAGTTTGAACCCTAAATGCCAATATTTCATAGTTTACATTTTTTTTTTTCAATGGAAGATATTGTGGCCACTTATCATAAATGATGTCAACATCTAGTTACCTAATTCTTGGATACACAAAAAAATGAGAATGATGTCAACATCTAGTTACCTAATTCTTGGATACACAAAAAAATGAGAGTTGTTAGCACTGCACCACTTTAATAATGACAGGAAATAGAATAATGATTGCGGGCTCAAATTAATAATGATGTCAGGCCGTGAGAGCTACATTTAACCAATCTATCATGTTTCTTTATTCCATACCAGAATGAATGACTATAATCAGTTCAAGTGACATCCCATAAGTCATTGGTGACTGTTATCAGCCTACCTACAATTCTCCACCCATTAATAATTAACTTATGATATCTGTTCTAACTTCCCTGTATGCTGTTCAGCTACAGTACATATGTTACTATCACCGTACGAATACACACGACAACATAGTACATTTTAAACCACTTATGGTTGGCGAATGATTGATTAGCTATGAGTTGGTGAGCTATCGTTGAATATTTTCTCATGGATCAGTTTCTTGAATCTGCAGTACGTCAAGCTGGCAGTGAAAATATTACGGAGAGGATAACTAGTAATTTGATTTTCCTGTTTCCATTATTTATTAGCTATTGTTCTTTTGTCTTTTGCATTTTCATAGGTACATGAATGAAGTGCATTACTAAGTACTTGTAAAATGTAATATTTATATATTGAAAATTATTTATGTTGTATATTCTGCATGACTATAAGGCAATGCTTGTAAACATTGAATGTTGATGATCAGGCACATTGTTATTGTTAAGTATTACAGTAAATGCTACTGTGTTATTGTACAATTTCGTTTCTGCTTAAAACTTCCTTGTATCTTTATGTGATAATAAGGCATTCAATTCAGAATGCATTGTCAGGCAGACGGGTCTTCTGTTCATGACCAAAAAGAATATGGCGTATTGATCAGTTTAGCAACAACATTTGCGTTATATGATTTAGATTAAATTTTAGAAAATAAAAATTATAATATTTACCCACAATGAAGTAAAAAAATAACTGTAGGCTAACAGAATTCAAAACTGAATGAAAAGATTTTTTTACGTTTACGTTTCCATCTCTTATTAGGCTTTGACAACAATTTTTCAGTTCGTCGTTATTTTTATTTTTTTATGGAAAAATTATTGTTTTGTTTTTTTTGAAAAATAGAAAATAGTAAATATTTTTCATGAGGCTCCAAAATTTGATGAGGGTCAGGGTTTAAGCTGGGAAAAAGGTATTTAACAATTTGGCTAATTCGTTATGAAAATAATAAGCCAAATAGAAATTTGATAAGTCAGCTTTAATTCCATTAGCTTTATTGCTGATTTTGAATGAAAATATTTAGTAAGTTCAGCCTTTATTAGGATTTGGCTATTTGGCTGACAGCTTAAGGCTAACTCAGACAGCAAGCACAACACAGTCTGATGCAATTTAATGTTGCGTTGGGTCTTTGTGATTTAAACGCGGATGCATCGGGGATAGTCACGTCGTAGAATATTAACATGTTTAATATTCTCACGACCTGAAAACTGAGTTGGCCTTTAAACACTGTGTCTGTAATATACTGTAATTGAATTTACAGTCAACAAATATGTAAGTATTTGATTACATGGTGCATTATTTTTAAAGATTTCTTGCATTTTAGCAGGCATGTAAAATAATAATAATAATGGGCTCACGATTATATTAAAGCTCATTATAGAGCTGTATATAATTGCTTTCGTTGACAACATGAAAAGCCTTTAAAAGCATTGGTGCCAATAGTAATACCTGTACCTACCTTTTAATGCATAAAAAGATGAATCCGGGCTCAACATTGTTAATCAAGCCACAGTGAGAGTACCACTTAAAGCAGTATTGCTCACAGTTCCTCTACAGCTGTCTATAGCATTGCAATACATACATGGAGGTTTTTAGTTAATTAGCTACTTTAAAACATACTACTGTTAGCTATGGAAAATATTCTGTTTTTTAAGTAGTTAAAAAGGTGTATGAAAATTATGATTACTACTAGTAATATTAGTCCGGCAGCTTAGCAGATGGATGTGGACGTTCCGGACAAAAGCATCAATTTTTTTTTACATGCTCCTTATGGTCATAGCATTCAATTTTTGGTAGGAACCACCTCATCCGAGGTCATTATGGTGGCCATCTTGGATTTCAAAATGGCCGCCTAATAAAACCTACTCAAATAAGCGCCTGTCTCTTATACACATCTAGATGTGTATAAGAGACAGGTATTGCTCACAGTTCCTCTACAGCTGTCTATAGCATTGCAATACATACATGGAGGTTTTTAGTTAATTAGCTACTTTAAAACATACTACTGTTAGCTATGGAAAATATTCTGTTTTTTAAGTAGTTAAAAAGGTGTATGAAAATTATGATTACTACTAGTAATATTCCATTGATCAAGAAAGATTACAATGGTGAAAAAATATCAAACAATATACACTAACTTATTGTTTTTACTTGTCTTGAACACTGTTTTAGGCAAAAAATCAGAGAGTGTTATAATGTGGAATAATAAAAAATGCTATTATGTTGAATGGTGTCCATGAATAATTAGAAGAGTAATTTTCTGTGTATTTTATTTCATTTTGTGAGTGATAATATGTATACTGCTATATTCATAAATTATTTTTTTTTTATCTTACATTGGTGAGATTTAATAAATTTCATATCCCTTAAAATATAATATATGAACGTAAACAACAAATTAATAATAATAATTTTAATATCATTAAAAGAAATTAATTTACTAATTTCATTTTAAGAAATATATAATAAAATATGTTTACATTTTATGTATTTCAGGTGCTTGGCATTCTAAACGCCTCAGTTGTTCAGAATCAGAAGCCTCTAACTCAACAGTTCTCCTAAGTAAGGCTGAGCTGGACAAGTTACTAGACGAAGCCAATGATGCCTTGGAACATCCTGAAGATGACGACGTAGCTGTGATTGTTCTTCATAAGGAGGATGAGAAGCAAGGCCTAGGACTAACATTAGCTGGTGGGGTTGATCAGGAAGTGAAAGAAATCACAGTAAGTGATCTTTTGATGAAAAAAGTCTTCGGCTACATTATTACCATGTTTTAGCTTGTCTACCTTGTTTAATAAGAAATTCAAAAAACTGCTCCTACAAATTTCTTATTCGCTTTTTCTCATTATCTTCATCTCATCACCTTTCTTTTTTTCTTATCTGTACCTCCTTTATTTCTTTTTCAATCCCTTCATCTTTACTTTATGGCTTTCAATAAATCACCATTGATTGTTTCTGCGGTTAAAGCATTTATATTACCTTTTCATTCTTTTCCTCCACTTCTTCACTCCTTTTCTGCATCTTCATATTCTCATGTCAGGTCTGTAAATCTTTTTTCTCCAGCTCCTTACCTCTTCTTTTCTGTATTTTCTCAACAATCCCACACATTTTCAACAGATATCATACATTATATTAATTTTTCCACTAGGTGCACAAGCTGATTCCAGGGGGGTTAGCACATCGAGACGGACGCATTCAAAGGGGTGATAGACTGATCTCAGTCAGTGGTAAAGTGTTGAAGAACGTCACTCATGCACAGGCATTGTCCTATCTTAAGGTAAATAAGATAGACGTCGTCTTGGTTGTGTCTAGGCACATTGAAAAGGAGGATGAAGGTATGTTAATCTATTATTCAACTATGAATGACTTTACTTTTATTGTGAATGGAAAATTGAATGTCTAAACTCACCCAATAAAAAATTATTCAAATTAACTATTATTTAAGTGATTATTAATACATTACTAATTAAGGATTCAAAAGTAGTATTCAGTCATCATCATCATAATGGTATTTTTAATTTTGTATTAATTTGATGTTAATGTTTTATCATATTATTTATAATATATAGAATTTCTATTTGCTTATTTCAAGTGAATTTTGTTCACTGTACAGTATGTTTTTACATTCCGTAATGTCAGTGGAAATGAATTTCTGGGGTTTTATTCAGACAATAATTACAAAAAACACATGATTCCATTGTTAATCACTTACGTTTCGTACTTCATAGATCTTCCAGCAGGCAGCACTGAAATAACACTAACCAAGGGAGCAGCTGGCCTTGGGTTCAGTATTGAGGGTGGGCGTGGGTCGCCCAAAGGTGATCTACCAATCACAGTCAAGAAGATCTTCACAGGTGGGATCTCAGATCGCAGTGGACAGCTCCACGTTGGTGATGAAATCTTACAAGTTAACAGCTACAAGTTTGTTAATTTGACACATTATGAAGCATGGACAAAACTAAAAAGTATCCCATCTGGTAACGTTAAGATGATAATTAGGAAAGCTGCCACTGTGAGCACTGACGATTGAATACCGGAGATGCCTGATTCAACTCCTTTTGTGGTCATAAAGACACTACCTTGACATAAGGATGATGGACGATGAAGAAATGCACTTTTGTCGGAAGATTAGTGTACTATCTAATCATTATTTCATCATCATCATTATTATTATTGGTGTTGATTATAAATATTATTATTATTTAGGGCTTAATTTATATTTTTAATACAACCTTTTAATTACATAAATGTCATAACCTTTAAAACTTTTTAAAATAGGACATTTACATGGATTTGGTGCTAGATTATATGGTAGAAACATACATTAATTTTAAGATATCAAATATAACATAAGTATATTTAGTCACTCCTAAGCATTAAAACAACACTTGGTTATTAGAGCACTTTAGTCCCATATAATCAACTTGCTGATGGTATTAGAAATCTTAAACCAGACCTGCGTTTTATAGAGAAGTTTTGGAGAGGTCACAACTTGAAAGTTTCTGGTTGTGTGCTTTTCTTAGTTTTGCAGACACTAGTATAAAGCTATAAAAGATTCAGAGATAGCAAAACTGCAATACGACCAAATAAGTGTTAAAAGAAATATGTATTACAGTAGGTGGGTAATCTATGTTTATGGTTCATTATTAGAATTTAAATATGTGAATAATTGTTATATAGTTTTCATTTTATTTTAAAGGTAAATTGTAATGTTAATGTACATATGTAGCAATTCTCTTGCAGTATTATTATAGATGAAACCTTTATAGAAACCGTACTTTACACCTTCTTATATCTTGGATTGTCCTGTAATGGTATATGAAATTTTAACTATAGTTTCGTACATTTCATGTTTCTTTAGATCAAGTTTACTATAAATTTCATGAGTTTAGAAATATATTCTGTGTATTCTTTGTCCATATTTACTATAGCAGAAATTTATGTTTTATTTTTATAGATCTATTATAGGTTTCTTGTATTACTGGAACTCAACTTAGATTAGATGAAAGCTTGAAAAATTTATTTTAATTTATTGATATGCGTATTTGTTTATGTGATGCGTATTGCACAGTGAGTTGATTTTGACAACATGATGCTAGTATGTTGTACATATTGGTGCTCCATAAAATAGCTTTTATCATTTGGAGTATTTGGAATTACTCTAATTTTTGAGGAAACTCCTTGAAACTATCTAATGTTGTACACAGTGGTGGCGCTATGATTTCCTCGACGGCAGGGCAACGCCCCCAACAGGCAGGGCAAGAGTTGCACTTTGGCGCGTAGTGCAATCTGAGGGCCGTATATCCGATTCGGGGGACGGTTTAGGAGGGGGAATCCCCTCCCCAATAAGAAAAATTTTTTTAATAATAAGCCGCTAGATGCTCATACAGGGCATCTGGCCAACTCATAGACAGCCAACATTACACACAGTTGTTTTGAATAGGTTTTTGACTTGTATTAAATAAAGGATATAAAAAAGAACTATAATGCTTTCTAAACAAAATGTAGTTAAACAATAGCATCTGCATACACTGGTCATTGCTTTTTCAAGCAATTGACCATAGTTGTGTTGGAGAATGCCAACATACTGTGATTGGATGATCGGCATAATGCTCTATAATTATTGTATTCATTTAAAATATGTGTGCACTGATTTTAAAGTTTTAAATTGTGTTTGCAATTTTTGTTGTATTTCTATGTAACATCTATGGTATTGAAATAAAAACAATAATAATAATAATAATAATAATAATAATAATAATAAATTTAAATAATAATAAATTTTAATAATAGAAGCAGATATTATACTATAATCATCCAAGTGTTGATAAATTGTATGTACAGTAATTGTATATTTCTTGAACACTTACCTGAAACCTACTTAACTTGCTAGTTCAAGGGAGAAGACCCCTCAAATTTTATTGAACAATCAATGTTCTATATAACCTTGAAAAAATTATATTATATAAAAGATATTTCATTTTGCAGCATATTTTGATATTAATTATATTTTCTTCCTTAATTCTATTATTTAATAGATTTATATTTTTGTGTATTTTATCGAAAAATATGGTAACTTTGATTTGCATGTACTGTAGTTCCAAAGTAAGTTTTGTCTAATTCAATGTTACAGTTATTGGTGGTGTTGCAGAATTTGAATTGTTTTATTTACTCTTATAGCAAAAAATAATGAATTAGTTTTTCTAGAATCATGGAATTCATGTTGCAAATTATTCATCAAATTAACTGGTTTATTATTTACAAATTTTTGTATGCATATTTGTTAATTTTGGTCGGTGTGCGAGTAGCAAGACCTTAGAAAATAAATTGCTTTTAAGATATTGCTTCTACGCTCTGGAACAAACTTCCCGATTATGTCAAAGAGGCTGATTAAGATCTTCTGAAACTTACAATTACAGACACTTAATTTAAAATTGTCAAACGTTTGTTACTTTTTTTAATATTTAGATAATTATTAATAGAATTGTAATGCTTAAATGCAAAAGACTTTTTCATAGTTTCTATACTAATCATGCCTTTCAAACATGTAAATATATTTTCTCTAATGCATACAGCTGTATGTAGATTGTGTCATCTTGATAAGAACCAAATTTTATTTCACAGACCCATTTATAATCCTATGCTTGCAGGGCCAGTAACGGAAGCATAGACAAAATATGGGGCCTTGCAATGTAGGTTGGTCAATCGGTAAAAAACCACCACTATCCCACAGTAGCTCACATTCACCCCTCCCCAGATCCACTTCCCTCCTAATATCTCCTGTTCCCAGGTCTTTTCTCTTCTCAACCCAGTTTCCCCAGCTCAATTCTAACCTTCCCCATTCCTTTGTTGGCCTTGAATTGTTTACTGTGTAAGACTAATAAGGGGGCTAGGTTCCATAAAGTTAAGGAAAGTTTGATCGAGTTCCTAGTCCACATATCAAGCGCCCTGATCATCTTACATCAGATGGATATGTGCACTATATAAAACTACACTATTATTATTATATTAAGTTTGTATAGTTACATTTTCTATGTTTAACAGCTTTAAATTATACCTTATGTACCACCTTATATATTATTCTTGTTAACACTGCAATTTTATTGCCTTGATTTTGTTTGCTTTGTATATAAGTATTGAGCCAGCCAACCTTTCTTTCATATATTCGACCAGATATGCCAGAATGAAGTTAATAAAACTTCGGTAAATGTAAGCATATAAGCAGTGGTGTATCAAGGGGCACACAACCCACCCCCACTAAAAAGCTCGCGCCTCCTGAGTTGGGTGTCTTCCCCCC